GAGATTGTCACGGAAACGTGTGATAAATTGTTCAAAAGAAAATCGGAGCACATCAGGAAGAGACCACTCTACTGGTGGACTCCCGAAATTCGTAAAGCCAGAAAAGAGTGTGAGAAGATGAGGAGAAGGATTTTGACAGATAGGAAAAACAAAATCAAGAGCAATAAACATCTTGAGGAGTACGGTTTAAAGCAAAACGAACTGGTACAGTTAATTTATGAGTCGAAAAAGAAAAAATAGATGGAACTAGTTAACGATCTGGAAAGAGACGTATGTGGTTCCGCTTACAAAGTTATCAAGCGGAAAATCAAGAACCTCCGGTCTTTTGATAATAGTTCCATCTCTGACGAGCAGCTCTACGAGACGGTCTCGCAGCTGTTTCCGATACATGAGGATGTTGTCAGGAAGAAGAGGATAGTAGATGAGACCGAGATACCCCGGATTACAGTGGAAGAGTTAGATAGAGCCTTGAAAAGGATAAAAATTGGCAAATCCCCGGGTCCGGACAACATCCCCCCTATACTGGCTAAGCTATTTGTGCAGAGCAATAAATCGAAATTTCTGGACATGCTTAACAAACTCCCTTGTGAAAGGAGAGTTTCAGCAAAGTTGGAAGGAGGGCAAACTGGTGTTGCTCCCCAAAACATCGGGGAATCAGCCCAAAAAGTACCGTCCAATTTGTATGTTGACGTCCTTCAGTAAAATTTACGAGCACGTAATAACAGCAAGGCTCTATGAAAAAGTAAAATTAAGTGAAAAACAATTTGGATTTTTAAAAGGAGGATCGACGATTAGTGCTCTGTACAGGCTTAGGCAGGCTTACGAGAGAATTGAGAACATTCCGAAGAGAGTTAGAGGCATTCTGTTGGGTGTCGGTCTGGACATCTCGAATGCTTTTAACTCTCTGAGGTGGGACGATATTACCCTATCGCTGGAAACTCAGGCTGTACCTGAGTACTTAATAAAATTGTTGGAATCTTATTTTAAGGAAAGATCGGTCTCCTACAGGGGACATACCTTCCGAATAAATAGCGGAATAGGACAGGGTCAATTCTTGGACCCTTAATTTTTAACATTGTCCTCGACAATATTGTAAGGATGAAAGTAGATCCAGAATTAGAAAAGATTGTATATGCAGACAATACCCTGCTGCTGATCTACGTGAGGAATGAAGACGAGATCAAAGAGACCACGAGCAAAGTTACGAGGAGATACAGGAGGAAACTTAAAGAAAAGGGACTTAAACTGGCGGCGGACAAGTCAGAGGCGATCGTTCTGGTGGGTGACGGGGTGAGTAGTGATGTCGAAGTCATGGTAGATACGGAGGTGATACATGCTGGGACACCGTTCAGACACCTCGGTTTTTATATAGACAGGGGGTTTGACATGTCCAGGCATGTTCACATCGTATGTGACAAGATGAGACAGGTTGCTCATTCTTTCAGGCCCATCATGCCCAATACTGCCGGCCCGAGTTTCTTCCGTAGGATCCTTATCGTACAGGCAGTCTTGTCCATTCTCTTTTACGGAGTCACGGTATGGTTTCCCGCGATGCAAAAGAAGGGTAATGTTAAACAAGTTGGATTTTGCAATCGCTAGCGATAGCAATATTCGTCATGGGAACGTTAGCTTCTGGGATATGAAAATGTTAAGGTATAGTTCGTTTGTAGTATCTTCTGAATTGAAGGGGCTATGTAATTTTGTGTTGACATCTCTTTTTTAACATTTTTAATTATTTTCTTTGCATACAAGAAAGCTGTTATGTACCAATTTTTTTATTTTCGTTGGATTATATATGGTTTTCGGAAGTTAACGCATTTAAGTTTCAGGTTCGCTTTTTCGGCGTAAAGTATACAAAAGGTGTCCCAAAAGCACCGGGACTTGTTCTGTAACTTCGAAAGTAAGATAGATACAGACATGATCTTGATTTCATTTTAAAGATCAACTCAATACCTATCGATTAAAACCAAGATCAGCTCAATCGGATAAAAATTGACCGAGCTATGGCAATTTGAAATCAGCGAGGAAAGTTTACGCCTACGGTTTTTAAGGAAGATTCTTCATCGCCGTAAATCGAAAAGTCGGCCGATAAAGTGATGCTTATTGTGTTTTTTATTTTCGAGGTGTCATTTATCAACATTTTGTACCATCAAACACAACAGTTGACAGTGCGCTATTGCAAAGTACTAAAGGAGTTGAGAATGCACATTTCCCGGAAACGGTCGGACTTGAAAGCTTCGTGGATACTCCATCAAGACAATGCGCGGCCTCACACATCGAGCTTAACACGTGAATTTATGAGTAAAAATGGAGTTGAAGCAATCCCTCATCCCCCTTATAGCCCTGACTTGGCTCCATGTGATTTTTAGATGTTTCCTACGCTTAAAAAGGAGCTTCGCGGACGAAGATTCGTATCGAAGACCGAAATCCAGAATGCAATTCAAAACTTCTTCAACTCCACCCCAGAGGAAGAATTCAGGAAAACAATGTTGGATAAGTGGCAAGAGCGCATGAAAAAGTGCATCCGGTTTGATGGACGGTACTTAAGCAAAAGGAAGTTATGGAAGATTCGGAGGAAAGTGGATACGAATATTAACTTTTTGAATCCTGGTAAGCGAAAAATCTTCCTAAAAACCGTAGGGGTAAACTTTCCTCACTAATTTCAAATTGTCATAACTCGGTCAATTTTTATTCGATTGAGCTGATCTTGGTTTTAATCGATAGGTATTGAGTTGATCTTTAAAATGAGACCAAAATCATGTCTGTATCTATCTTACTTTTGAAGTTACAGAACCAGTCCCGGTACTTTTGGGACACCCTACGTATGATATTTTTACTCTACACATATGCCCGAATACGCATCATAAGGGACCTATGTGCTTCCTAAGTTGCCAAGTATTAATTATTGTTAGATGATTGGTCTAAAACATTCAATACAACCAGTAAAAATTAACTGTCCCCTACGAGATTCGAACCCCCGCTCGTATAAAATGGTACGCCGATGAAACGATAGAGTGGTGTCGAAGACGACTGAGCTATCTCGACACCCGTTGCGGATGTGAGAAAAAAGAACAATTAAGGGATCTCGGACGCTGAGCGGGGCTTCACAAAAGGCGTCCTTGAAGTTTCGGCGCGGTTCGGCCCTTGCGGTGATATGAGACAACGGATTATGCGCATTTCTCTGTGAGACATTGTTTGCTTATGCTTTCATGTGTCACAAGGTTCATCTCAGCATGCATTTGCTATCGCGGCAGTAAACTGAGGCAATATTTCTGTATTCATGGATTAAATCTATCAATCGAGTTCTGATTGTGGCTCATATATCCGTAACGGGTCCTCCAGAACAATTTTCCACCTTGTACGATGGTTATTATTTCTTTATATCTATGTTTAAAATTTGAGGTGGGATAATGGCGGCTTCTCAAGAGCAACGAGGTAGGCGATCTTTTGCACCAACGAACAGAAAACTGATGGCGAAAAATAACCAATCGGAACCTCCCAAAAAAAAGAATTTGCCCAAAATCGGAACTTCGTGGTTCTGCGCAGATTTACCGGTCAGACACGACATCTCAAGGTGGAAAAAAACTCGCTGAAAGCGAATTTTAGAAATCAACACAACTTGACGTAGAGACATGATTGGCTAAAAAATCCAACGGTTTTTGATACATCGGAAAATCAACCAAAAATCGAAGACTGGGCGAAACGCTCAAGGTCGCAGAGGCATAGGGAATCACATAGCAATAGCAACGGAACGATTGTAAAGACAGGAGAACTCCGTTCCCATGCCAAAAGATTACTTCAACATTAAGGCCACTTAACTGAATGCTTGTCAGGGGGTACGTCTCCTGCTCTAATTTTAGTTTAGACATCTTGTCGGAGATTCCTCCTACCAAAATTTTGGTGGAGGAAAGAGTAAGAAAGGCCAATAAAATGGACCCCAAAAAGATAAATAGGTATAAAAGAAGGGATTGGCTCGCGGCGTGGAGAGAAGATACGGGCAATGGTTTAAGAGAATCCTTGGTGACCTGGGGAGCTGGCTGGATAGGGGTCACGGATGTTGTGACTTTTATCTCTGCCAGTTCCTGACGGGACATGGTTTGTTCGGGTCTTACCTCAGCAAAAGGGGCCTATCCCAAACGGATAGGTATGCGCGTTTTATGCAAAAAGGAGAAAGACACATCGGAACACACTTTCTTCGGGTGCAAAAGCGATTTTGTACAAGGAGAGAGGGAAGCCCTGAGGCGACGCATCGGACAGGAATTAAGGGTGGAAAACACCCTTGATATCATGTTAGGAAGTAAGGAGAACTGGTCTGAGGTTCGTAAATTTGTAAAGACCATTTTAGTTTATAAGAAAAGCGTCTGTGACGCGATTCCTGCCGATGCTGTGCCTCATGGTAGTTCCGGCGTGTCCGACCCCATCTAAGTGTGGTGATTTTTTTAGCCGGTCGTCCTGCCTCCGCGGAACGGCTTTTCTAGTAAAGTAATTTCAAGGATTAACCCGGCATGCGCGGGGAATCCCCTGATTACGGGTGAATACCCGCTACCAGGTGGTCCTGGAGCGGGTGGCCTAACCCCGGCTTAGGGGAGGCCCGAGTATTCCCGAAGGAATTTTTGGCGTCTTGCGGAATTTTGTTTGTTAAGTAAATTTTTTAATGGATTAGTCGTAGTTACCGTGACCACTAGTTTGAATTTGGTCTTAGTATATTCTGCAGATCGCCCCGAGGGGTTCCCTTAAGGAACCCCCTGACACGCCACGCGGAGTCTGACACACCCCAAAAAAAAAAAAAAAAAAATCCAAGTGTAAGAGCTAAACTTTGATTTTAATTGAGTGACAGATAATCCTATTAAACAGTTTAAGAGAAGTCTGCACTACCCACAGTAAAAATACTAACATCAACTCTATCTCGACTGACCCGTTTTTAAAAAAACTTTCGAAGATAAATTAAAATAATCACACGTAATTTTAAAACTTGCTAAAATAGTAAAAAGGGTACGTACACAATAATGGGTTCAAATGGTTTGACAAAGGGCGAGTTCTTCATGGTTTGTGTTTTCACTATATGATCATCCAGTAAAACTTGAATTTCATCCACCGCAGACAGAATGTACGTTCCAGTATCCCTGAGACATGAAATTTTAGCCTATTTATTATTCAGTTTTTTAAACTCCTCATGTTAGATGTGGATTCTACGGTGCTAACAAGGAGAGCTTCCCAAGTGTAACCGGAATTTCGAGTTGAAATTTCGCATGAAGATACTAGAGATGATTTTAGGGATGCCGTATTTTTTCGTTTTTTCGAATGGGGTCGGGAAAGCCCTCAAAAAAAGGGCTAAAGATGCGGAAAAACCGCGTGCGCCAGCGGCACAAGGTAAACATAGGTGACAGAGGCTCCCCGTCCTTATCAGTACCGCATGGCCAAACGGTAGCGCGCTCGCCTCGCAGGCGGGAGGTCCTAGGATCGGGTCCTGGTTCCTGTTCGTAATTTTATTTTACTTTATGCTATTGTTTATTTTTCACTTACTTTATTTTGCACCATTCTCTCCGCAAACCGACTTACGAGGTAGAACACGTCGTGACTGAAGATTTTTTACATATGCTGATAAAAACTCGAAGTTTCTCTTGGATTGAAACGTTATATATAATTGAATAAACAAATAAACACTCTATAACTCACCAAATTTCGTTGCCAAGCTGAATTTTCGAAGTATCAGTCAAATCTGTATCTGTCTGATACTTCGGAAATTCAGCTTGGCAACGAAATTTGGTGAGTTTTAGAGTGTTTATTTGTTTATTCAATTATATATAACGTTTCAATCCAAGAGAAACTTCGAGTTTTTATCAGCATATGTAAAAAAAATCTTCAGTCACGACGTGTTCTACCTCGTAAGTCGGATTGCGGAGAGAATAGTGCAAAATAAAGGAGGTGAAAAATAAACAAGCATAAAGTAAAATAAAATTACGATCAGGAACCAGGACCCGATCCTAGGACCTCCCGCCTGCGAGGCGAGCGCGCTACCGTTTGGCCTTGCGGTACTGATAAGGTCGGGGAGCCTCTATCACCTATGTTTACCTTGTGCCGCTGGCGCACGCGGTTTTTCCGCATCTTTAGCCCTTTTTTTGAGGGCTTTCCCGACCCCATTCGAAAAAACGAAAAAATACGGCATCCCTAAAATCATCTCTAGTATCTTCATACGAAATTTCAACTCGAAATTCCGGTTACACTTGGGAAGCTCCCCTTGTAAGATCCAATTAGACTACAGTTGGTAACATTTTGTTACAGCAATCCACTACAAATGTTGAGAATACAATCATTGTCAATATTATCATAGAGCCCCAATATTCCAGGAAATTTCTGTTTGCAAAGAGGTTTCGCCAAGGCTTCATCTCATACTCTAGTCTGCGTGACGCGTAACAACATGAGGCTAACTAAGGCGTGTCCGATAGGTACCCTTTCCACTGCATCAACCCTCCCTGCTCATTCTGCACCTTCTCAATCCGCTACCGGCTACCCTTTTTCATACAGAGATCTTACTTTACTCCCACTTTCCCTTCCGGGCGTTTGCTAACCATTTGCAATTTTCAATGGCTCAAAAGAAGCCTGGAGAGACTCTACTTTTCTTCGAAAGTGCCGAATAAGACCCCCGATCTTCATAGGGAGCGGTCCCCGCGGGGCAATTTTGGCAGGCCGGCCCACAGCCGATGGCCAAATATCCTATAGGTTCATGACCTGCCTCCCACCTTGTACAATCTTCAACCTCCTCAGCCTTTTCCTCTTCAATTTGCCTTACTTTCTTTTGTTGTTTTTGTCTTGTCCTTTGTTTATCTTCTTTGGTTACACTATGGCCATTTCGAGTTCAGCGACTCATCTTCAGGCGTTCAAAAACATTTCGCGATATATCGCACGTCACACTCCAAACGAAAAACGATTAATTAAAAACTGCACAGTTTGCAGAAAACAATTTTCTCACGTTTGTTCACACGCTTGGTCTTTACAAACTGTTCATTTTTTAATTCATCATCTTTCGTTTTAAGTTTGACGTGCAATATATCGCGAAATGTTTTTGTATACCTGAAGATGAGTCGCTGAACTCGAACGTGTCATGGTGTAACTTAAGAAGATATAAACAAAGGATCGGACCAAAACAACAAAAGAAAGTAAGTCAAAATAATCATGACATTCGACAGAATGAAAAAACCCCTTAGCTTTTCCTTTTCCTCTCTCGTACCGACATTTTTCTCTCTTCCTCTTTTCCTTTTTTTCTTTTGTTCAACATTTTCTTTCAAAAAGACAAGACCGGCACTGTGATCATATAAGCACTGGCTATCGGGTAATTTTCCAGTATCTGAAGAGGCCAGTCCACTATTACGACTTAGTACTTTCAACTTGCTGGAAAGAGAATGTTTGATGGATGAGATGAGGATACCTGATTAATTGAGAAAACGAATCTAATAAAAATGAAATATTTACAGGATGTCCCACAAGTCCACACCCCCCCCCCCCCCCCCC